GGAGAATCTCAGTGTTTTTGTTCTACCCAAGGCTGGTGAGTTTTTGGTGGGAACAATAATATAGTTCCAAGAGCTCCTTTTCAAATCACTTCATTTAGAAAAGTCTAGAGATTGCTTTCAAGGGAGGCCTGATTAACAGTGTGTGTCCCTCAGCCATGTGTGTTCCCTGTGTGTGTGTGAGAGAGAGAGAAACAGACAGAGACAGAGACAGAGGGGAAGGGAGGGGAGGGGAAAGGGAACTCAGGAGAGAGCTGGGCACCGCAGGACGCCATCAGGCTTTGATGAAAAGGTCTCTCCAGAGGGAACAGCTTCTGCCTGGCTGTTCTGAGGCCAGAAGTCTTTTGTGGCACATGCAACAGTCCAGTACAGTGTCCAGTCCCCAAAACACCCATATGTGCAGGGTTGATAATCTGAAGATTATTATGGCTGAGGGACACGCCCTGTTAATCAGGCCTCCCTCAGAAGCAATCTCTAGATTTTCTAAATGAAGTGATTTGAAAAGGAGCCCTTGGAACTATATTATTGTTCCTACCCAAAACTCACCAGCCTTGGGTAAAACAAAATATGTAAGTTTATTTCAAATCACAGACCCTTCGTGGCCCAGTCAGGGAAGCACGGCAAAGGCAAAGGCAGTCGTCTTGAAAACTTTGGCCCAGTCACAGAAAGACATCTGTGACCTCAGCCTGGGCAGGAACAAATGACTGTTTCTTCCTTGAGACACGTTTCTCTGGATTACATCCAGAAGGAGACAATCTTTCTGATAACACAACACCACACAGGCACCTGCAGCTACTTAAAATAATCTATGATTAGAGAAACCAGTGTTGGTTAAAATTTGCAACAACATGGATGGACCTTGAGAGAATAATATTGAGTGAAACGAGTCAGGCAGAGAAAAAGAAATACCACATGTTCTCACTCATCGGAGGGAGCTAAAAAAAACAATCAAATTAATTCACCCACAAACACACACATAAAAAAAAAACCGGGGGGGGGGGCGGGGAAGAAGATATAACAACTATACTTTTTTTGAAGTTGTTACAACAAGTAAACGGAAAGGACATTCTTGGGGGGGAGGGGAGAGAGGGAGGAGGGCAGGAGGTGTCGGTGATGGGTCATAAAAATCATATACATTGTATATTGACAAAATAAAAATTAAAAAAAAAATAAAAATAAAAAGTTCCCCCCAAAACTGAACTCACATGAGGACAGCCTGGATCCAGATGCAGAGATTTGATGGGCAGAGGGTTGGGGAGGAGGCAGGTGATGGGCAGTAATAGAGCAAACAGCACACGCATGCCACTCCCAGCTACAACTCCCCACTAGCTGGAAGCCTTAACCACACAAGAGTGCGAGTACAGGCAGAGCTGGTCTAATGACAGGCTCTTATTTCTCTGCATTTGTTTTCTCCAACATGGGGATTCTACAGGTTTTCGGGCTCAAAAACACATGGTTAATCATAAAGGTGAGTCTCTTTGTGAGTCACTGAGCTTTGTGGTTAGCACCATCTGTGAAATTCCTCAGCCTCTAGTTGACCTGAAAGCCACCATGTCACAAAGACATGGGTAACATCTGCCACATAGGAATGTAGTATTGATCCTCTGGTTTTATTTCTGGGGAAGTTCAGCGAAATTTTTCATGTGCCATGGCCTGATCCCCTATATTTTTCTCATTTAGTAAAACAATAGACTTGTGCATTTGGAGTGGGCTGGGGAGGCAGAAAAGACTAGAGAGGTGTCAATAACAAAAATCAGCTATGATAATGGGCAGAGCAGCCATTTGAGTTTACGGGCTATTTATGGGATGGGAATAGGTAATCAAGTAATGGGGTGTATTTCCACATTAGGCACAGATACTTAAATCAAAATTGAAATGGAGTCATAAAATCTCAGAATATTAATGTTGTTAACTAGAGCCTATAATGAGAGGGACTTGGTTTTTGCTGATGTCCGTGGGCTCCATATGAATTCTCATCATGATAATGGCCTCTGTGCACGGTCACTGGGCAGCTCAGTCAACCAAACAAAAACAAGTGATTTATCTCAATCAGGAATCCTGCCTCAAACATCCATCTACACAGCAGGCAAAGGTCCCACCGTCCATCCCTTTTCCAAGCTGGAAACCTTTGAGGTCTCCTTGATTCCTCCCTTACTTACTGAGTGTTGAATGAATAAAATTTTCCACTCCCTGAACATTGCTGTTTCTTGACATGTAACAAGAAAAAGAAGGATGGAGCTGGGGTACGATGTAGATGAGTTTCTCAGCCTTGGCAGTATTGACATTTGGGGCTGGATAACTATTTGCTAGGTGGAGGGGGGACTATTTTGTGCTTTGAGGGATGTTTAGCCCCATCCCTAGCCTCTAGTCCTCTACCCATTAGATGCCAGTAGCATACCCCCACACAAGATTTTGACATCCAAAAAGATGTCTCCAGACATAGCTAAATGTCCTCTGGGAGGTACAATCTACTCCTCCAGTTGGGCGTAGACAGTGACAGAGAGACTCATGAAGGGGAATTCAGGTAAAATAAGCCTGACTCAGAGCCCACTAAATGTCCAAGGACAGGCATATTCCTCTCCTGGCTAACTCTGGGGTACAAACTGAGCAGATAACCACAGAGCTAAACTGGTGCTTGGGCCATATCAATGACCTGTACCAAAAGATGCATCTTCAGTTTTGGCTACACAAGTCTATCACGACATAGTTTTAGTTTGCCTCCTAATATGGCCCTAAAAGTCATTGAACATAAATTCTCTTGTTTTGCTTTCTACCAGCCCACACAGCATTAATATTCTCCCTTTACTGTCCAAAGTTCCTTTGTGTGCCTGTTGAATAAGGTGGTTTTGATGCCCCAGTTGCTGCAGGCTTTGGGTGCACCAGCCGCATCAGGAGCCCACCGTTCCCTAAAGCCAAGAGCTGTGCTTCTGCATTCTCTCACTGTGGCCACACTACACGGCCACCGCTAGGTGACGAGTACCAAGCAGGTGAGGGCCAGAGAGCGCTTAGGAGAAGCCAACTCATGTCTCAGGTTTTCAGTGTGAGTTCACTACACAAAGGCTCTCACTGCCTCCCAAGATAAAGGAAAACTCTATTCAGTTCTGAAACCCTTAATCATTCCCCAAATCCAAAGTGGTGAATAAAAGAAAAAAGCCAGCATTCATGGCTTACAAATAGATAGTGATCCAAAAGTATGTCTGCCTCTGAGTCAGTTGTTTGGAAAGCAAAACACGACCATTCGAAGAAATAACGTGCTAAGCAGCAGTGATATCAATTTGCATTTGTGTAGCATGTTTTCATTTACAAAGAAGTTCATATCCCTTATTTCATTCAATCTATGAAACAGCTCTGTGAAATATTTGAGGATTATTACTCCTGTGCTCAAAGAAGAAACTGCGGTTCACAAGGGATAAATGAGAAGTGGTCCAAAAAAGGCCATTTGACTCATAATATCCTTCATGAGGAAATGCCCTAATCATGTGGGCAACAAGATTCTGTGGGAAAACGTGCCTAGTTCCAAAAATGCAATGGGCTCGTCCTTGTCACTGGTGGCTCAGTGGCTCTCTCCCTCCTTTGCTTTCATGACATAGCTTCATATTATCCGGAATGTCATCCAAGTCATTGACAAAAACAGAGCAGGGGAGAGCTCAGGTTCCAGCCCTGTGGCCCTCTACTGACCCCCTACCCCACAACCAGGAGGGCCTCAGACCTTGGCCAGCAGTTGATGCTTGCCGCATCCACCTGTCCAGCCCATGCCTCAACATCTCCTCCCCACAACCTTCACCTTCCAGCTCAAGTTGCTGCTGGAGGCACATGGCACGCAGGGCACCAGCTCCAGGAGGGTGGAGCTAGTGCCAGAGGAGGGGCAGGAGAAGCTGGGTTGGCACTGGCAGGAGCACGAGGCCTCCAGATGGGGGAGAAGAGGCCCTCAGCTAGGAGCCCCCTTACCTCTGGCCTCATCTGCTCCTCCCTACCACTGGAACAAACCCCCGGGAGAGGTGAGAGGAGGGGGGTCCCACAAGGCAGCTGGCAAAGATAGAAAAGAGGGAGGAGAGGAACGCGGCCAGGTGGCAGCAGGACAACAGGAAAGGAAGAGGGGGTTTGGGTCACAGACCGATCATGGAGGGCCATTCATCCAGGGAAGCTGGATTTAGGCACATTGATTTTGGTTTGTTTTAACTTGACATATACAATGGTTCTCAGACTCATCAGACATGATAGGCTTGCTTGTCAATCATGAGGATTCCTGGCCACCACTCCAGACCCACCCCAAGAGTCCAACTGCTAGGTTAGGGCGGATGATCAAGGTGATCTGGCGATTGCCCTTTGGGGAGCTCTGCTCTGGACCCTGCTGCCCCCAGAGGCCACACCCCTGCTCCCTGTTTGCTGTGACAGGTGGTATCTTTCAGGCAGATTGTGAGCTGTAGTTTATTTGCAGAGCAACATGGCATGGTTTAGTTATATTCCAGGAAAAAGCCCCTCACTTGCTTTGTGTTATTTTGATTTTTAACAAGTATCCCAGGACTGACACATGTAGGTAAGCCTCGCCCCAGTCTTGCAGCTGCTGCTCAGAATGCTGCTGGAGTTGATCCCTGGGCTGGACGCACCGTTTGGAAGAGCGTCCGCAGTGAGAAATAGGTCCTTACAGGCTGGATTTGATATGTGAAAGGAGCCAAAACCACTTGGCACCAAGTCTGAGGACAAAGGCAAGTGATCCAGCAGGGGAACCACATTTGGATGTGAGGCCAGTGGCGACTCTAAACTGAAGGACTCGAGCAAGGTCTCCTTGAGTGCCAATTCTTTCCCCAGCAAGGGCAGCATGAAGGTAAAACTCCCTTGAACAGGCATATTTGCTTCAACACTGTACCGCTCTGTCATTTCAGGCTACTCTGGTTTCTGACAATAGGCATCGGTCCTCCCCGAAGCAGTGCATTTCTACACCTGTCCCTGGAGGGGAGAGGCAGACGGCTGTGAAGACTGGAGAGGCTCTAGGCAGGACTCACCTTGCCAGTGATGCTTGTAGTCGCACATGCGGGACAGGGCGATCATCATGGCACAGTACAAGGGCAAGATGGCAGCACAGAGCCGCCAGCTCTTCCCCCGCCCACTCTCAGTGAAGCAGTGCAGCTTGCCCGCCAAGTAGAAGGTCGTGAAGCCGAGGCCCGAAAAGGCAACTGCCAAAGAGAAACAGCAGGCGTTACTCCAGCAGGTGGTGAGTGGCAGGGACTCAGTCTGCCATCTTGCACACCCCCAAGGGGCAAGGCCATGTTGGCACCAGGCACCATCTAAGCAATCTGTGCTCCTGCTAGAACTACGCTGGCATTAAACTTCCAACAGGAGAATGATCTTCAGGCTTGCAAAGGATCAATGCCTATGCTATTTCATTCATCCATTCATTCAACAATGATTTAATGGGTATGTGCTGTTGCTAGACAAGCACTGAGCCAGGTGTAGGGAATAAAAAGATGCAAGATGTGTCAGATACTATCTCTGGTGCCAAGGGGTTCACAGTCTAGTTGAAGGACATGGATATGTTAATAGATCATTTTAATGTAACGTGTTACATTCTATAAGAAAAAAGTGCGTATAGAACAAAAGACAGAACTGCTTAGATTGGAAGGGTGAGGGAAAGTATGGGGGAGAGAGTCCCAGATGTTTGGCTTGGGAGACGGAGTGAGCCATGGTGTTCACTTAGGTGGGACCAGCAAATGCTACGGAGGAGTGGGTTTTATAGAGAGTCCAGTGATGACAAATACCTTGTTTTCTCTTAGAAATAATGTTTATTGTTTTTTAGAACTGCAAAGACAACTCACAGTGGTGCTTTGTTTAAATCCATTGTCAAAGCATGGAGGTTGGGTATAGCATGTTTAAGCCCCAAGCTTTTTATCCAATCAGGTTTAAAACACAGTTGGAACACAGTGAGATTTAAGGTAGGTCTTCCATGGGCTTAGAAAAGTAATCCTCAACCCTGGCTACACATGGAGTCATCTTTAATACCTGGGAAGCTTTAAAAAATACAGATAGCCAGTCTGTCCCACTGCCAGACATTCTGTGTATAGTGGTCTGGAATGGGCCCTTGTGTATGTGCACACCCATATGTGTGTGTGTGTGTGCATGTGTGTGCATGTGTGTGCATGTGTTTGACCTCTCCAGGTGATTCTAATGGCAGCCAAGGTTGAGCTTAGAGGCTTTTGTTGAAGGCAGACACCAGCCTAATTGAAACTTTCCTCTTGATTAGAAAATACTCCTGAGGGGGCAGATCTCACAGGTAATCAGCCCACACAGTGACTTGGTAAAATGGGTCTTATAAATATCTTATAAATACTCTAAATTCTAGTACACCTACAACCTTAAGAGACTGCCCAAAGCCTGAGGTGCAGCCTGAGCATCACGTGGAGGTTTGTTATAAATGCTGACTCTTGGGCTCCCCTAGACCTACTGAATTAGAATCTGCTTTTCACAGTTTCCACTAGTGATCTGTGTGCATGCTGCCATCTGAAAAGCTCTGGCCTAAATCACATTCATCAGCTTTATAAAAGAACTCTAAGAGTCCATTTGTAGGAAATAACACAAGAACAGGGGAGAGTCTAGATGTTCTGCTCAAAGTTATTTACAATTATGGAAAGACAAAGTGATCAGTGCAGAGGCATAGATAGGCAAACTGTGACATTTCCACTCAGTGGAGTGTGATGCATTTGTGAAAACTATTGTGATCATGTAGCAATATGGACACTGCTGAGGACACAATGTTAAATGGGAAAAGCAGGACCCCACGTTGCAGGTTCAAGATAATCATGGCTATCCTACGTAACTGAGTAACCTGCTCCTTTTCCAAATTAGCTCTAATAAGAACACGTCTTCTTAAAATGGGTCTCAGTTATGCGCACAAGCTTATACCAAAGTACAACTTTTACAGCAACCAAATGAAACAAAGTTGCAGTGGGGTTTTTTTCCTTTTTTAAACATAATATTAAACCAGGTTTATCCTGGGTATTAAAATGAAGCAAAAGTAAGGACATGTAAATGTGAGTGATATGTGCACTAAAACATTTCTGAATAATGATTAGCCCTCAAATAAATAGCAAAGCAGTGCCAGTGTATACTGAGAATTCTGCTTAAGGCAAGAATACATGGGAAACGGCACTGCCCAGCCCTGCTCTAGGTTGTTTGCAATGACAAGAGGGAATTAAGTGATTTACACAGTGTTCCAAAGTGGCTCCACTTGGCCACCATCCAGGTAAGCGCGATGGCTTCTTAATTCCCACACTCACCCACTTTGCTCTGTTTCTTCTATTCATTCACATTCTCCCACAAGGTATCAGAGTAGGACAGGGAGGCTGGACATTTGGTTCCAGTTGGTATTGGCCCCATCCCAAGCTCTGGAATAATGGACTTTACTGGAGTCATCAGCTCAAGCGACCAATACCACCCACACCTCCAGGCACATGCAGGGGACGGAGGTGGGAGGGGGCTGCCGAAACCCTACACATCAAGACCTCGGGCAGGTGGCTGGGGGACAGCTCCTCGGCCTCCACCTGATCTCCTTTGCCCCAGGAACTGTAATGTAGCCAGCTTTGGCACTGGGGCTTTGATTCATTCTTTGGAGAGCAGGTAAAATGCATCCTCGCCCACACAATGAGAGGCACGATCCACACAGCAGCCCCTTCAGAATGTTGAAGCCTCTGCTTCTTTGAAAAGGAGAAAGGATTCAAAGGCAATTGTAAAGGTTGCGTGTAACAGCCTAGATCCTGTGGCAGCTGGCAGTCTTCTTCAACACACACTATGGGGCTTCGAACAATACCTGTAAAAGCATCACTGTGTAAAGTCCTTACTTTTCTAGGTGACATGATGAGGCTCCAATTTCACACTAAACCTTATGCTTGTCACTTTCTCAATGACATTTATACAGTTATTGAGCCAAAGTAATGTCCTTTGACAAAGGAATTCTGCGGCAATTCCTTCTGGCCCGGGAGGCGCGTATGAGTTCTGGGAAGCGCTGATCCTTTGCAGTCCTGCTTTTCCAATTACTATCTGAGTAAGAATGAGATTCTACCAGGCCATACTGAAATAATATGATTCCATAGTTTTCTGCCACCTCCTTCTGTGAGATAAGGGGCTTTGGACTAGGATGCAGTCTCCCCAAACCATCCAGCTCTGAGATCCTAGGACTCTAAACCATCAAGGCTCAGATTCCAACTCAATTGAGAGAAAAAGAAAATAGGAAGGTTGTCAAAGACGTGCTTTCCAACACTGTACATACAATATCCAATTCTCTTCTGAAAGAAGACGTGCATCTGAGACACAGGGGGCTGTAAAACTTTTTTATTCTAGTGTAGAACAAGTTAGATGATGTTTGTTCTAAGTGAATGTCTGTCCCTCCCTTTAAACACAGTTCTAGCTTCCAGCTAAAAGTCCATTGACAGACAACTGGATAAGGAAATCGTGATATATATATATACACAATGGAATGCTACTCAGTGATAAAAAAAAGGATGAAATTCTGCCATTTGCAGCAGCATGGATGAGCTTAGAGAAAATTATGTTAAGTGAAATAAGACAGACACAGAAAGAGAAATACCCCATGTCCTCACTTGTAAGTAGGTGCTAGTAAGGAATAAAGGAAGGAAGGAAAGGAAAGACAGACCTCAATGTATTATTATGTACAATAATACATTGATCTTTCAGAAGGAAAGAACAAATCTATGGTTATTAGAGGTGGATGGGGGAGGGACGGGGGTGGGGAGAGATTGGGTAAAGGGCATAAAGTATAATTACAATTTGTAATAATGAATATGCTAATGATATTGATTTGATCAACACATGTTGTACACAGGTGATAGTAGTCAACGCTGTACCCCCAAAATATGTATAATCAATTATGCTTCAATAAAAATAAATTTTAAAAATGGAGAAACACATATAAAAGACTAAGTTTCTTGAGAGCACAATTGTGATTTTATTTCCATAGCAGCTAACATTTATCAACTGCTTACAGTATAGCGGATACCGTGCTGTTCAATTTATCTCACTTGAGATGACAGCAGAATGATGTCTGTATTAAGCAAGCGTCTCCATTTTACAGATGGAAATGAGTGAGTCCTTGAGGAGCTAACTGCTAGCCCAAGGTCACAAACCCAGTGGGTGGTGGAACAAGAGATATAATCCAGTTCTAACTCCAAAATCAGCACTCTCCACTCTGCCAGGCTGCTTCTCTAGGTCTCTGTTTCCACAGGGCTCAGGACAATGCTTAGCACTGAGTTGGCAATCAAATATTTGTTGACTATTATGCTGTTGATGCTAATAAAACACCAAGTCACTGTAGTTCAAAAACAAAAAAAGAAACAAAACTGAGAAATAAGCATTCAGAGGCATAGACAGGTCATTGAACATTTTGGAAGATGTGGATTATAAGATAGGGTGAATGCATTCATATCTCACTAACGTTATCAATTATGAAAATATGAGTAGAAAACTCCCAAGCCAGTGTGAGAGGAGGCTGACAGTCTACCTGTTTGGGTAGCAAACTTGTTCATTTGAGCTCCAGAGTCTAAACACACACACACCCACACCAACCCCCCCACATACACACACACCCCTACACCCCTTCACTATTGACAAAAAGAAAGAACAGTGATCTGTGGGAAGAGCCCCTTGCTTGCAGAGCCTGTAGCAGGTTTCTTGGCTGGAAGCAGCTGATTATAAATATCTATATGTTGATCTGGCTGTGAAAAGCAAAGATGCTCTAAACTAGGAAAAAGATCATGGTTTCCCACCTTGTTTCTGGCATGTGAAATGCTCACTCGGCTGTAGTCAATGAGAGAAGATAAGCAAAGCATCACAAAGCATCACATTCATTTGGGTGGCCTGAGAGAAGAATCAGTGATTCCTTTCCAGTGTTACCAGGCAGGCACAGGAAGGTGGCCCTGTTCACAAGATGCACCTGGCATCACTCTGGGCTTCAGTTTTCTCTATGAAATGGAGGCTGAACCACAGGGGTCACTGCATGAAGCCCATGGGGACGGGGAAGATAGTGAACACAAGTGAAGCAGTTGGATATTAGGGTCAACCTTCTTGCAACAGAAAATCCTCTTGGTCTTTTATGCCACAGTTGGTAGGTAGTCAGATCCAAGAAATACTTCACTTCCTGAAAAAAATCAATGGCTCCTCTGTGATAAT